AGTTTCCTTCCACAGCTTGCATAATCCAACTCCGTATTAGTATTTTCAGCTTAATGTTTTTGGTACTTATAAGGGAATATTGGTCTATTCTTGGACTTTCACCCCAATAATTATGAACCATTCAGAAAAGGTTAGAATGTTGTGGCAAAGCTTAAATCATCTCTTTCCCTATGTTCATAATAGTCTTTAGTTTCGGGATATCTAAGACCTTGGTTTAAATCGTTAAAGGATTTGCTGCGTTAAAGAATTGCATTTTCTTTTGAATCGGTGATGTTTTAGTGTAAGTTTTGGACTAGCTGGTACAGAAAACCTTACTTGTGTTTGTAGATCAGATTAAGTGCATTCTCTAAGTTTCAGATTTTGCTCATGTTTAGTGCTTGGGCTTCATAATCTTGACCCCCTGTTTGTCATCTTTGCAAATCTGCATAAAACAATCTTTTATTGACCCTGTGCTGAGAATGGTAGTCTGCTGTGTGCCTCACTAAGCATTCTGCTGAGGATATATCAAACTCAATTCTTCTTTCGAACTTGCTTGTTGAAGGCTAATCGTTCAGTGGATTGCTTTAAAATGTATATTACCTGGTGAGGAACTTTTCTTCTGTCCTTCTTGGTTATACGCTACGAATTGAGCTACCTAGCAAATCTCCTATCAAAAAGAATTTAGCGAAGGACATTCTTGTTTACAAAGAGTCCTCCAGCTCAATCTTGAACACTTAACATACTAGCCATTCTCATTTGCTTAAGTTGTGTTGATATTTGTTCATTCCGCTTCGGTTTTCTAGTACCTTGCCGTTGCTACTGCTTGGCTATTGCTATTGCTATTGCTTTCTTCCATCTGTTTTTCCGGTTCATACATTTTTGGTTTCATTTCCTGGCTTGTTGATATTTACGTGTTTCTATTCTTCATCTCGAGCCGATGGTCTTTCGGAAACAACCTTTCTACCTCCTCAGGGTAGGGATAAGGTTTGCGTATACATTACCCTCTCCAGACCCTACTTGTGGGATTCCACTGGGTTGTTGTTGTTGTTGTGTTGATATTTGTTCAAAGCAACCGGTTATCAAATTTTGATTATTTATTGAAAGCAACAGTTTGGTTAAAGCCAAAGATTTGTCAGACCACTGTTCTTATCTCTGTCTCTGTGCTTTCTTCCTTTTCTTGTTTACTTGCCTAAAAGTGACTGTTTAGATTTGCATTCTCAACAGGGGAGGGACACAACTTAACTGTAAAGATCCTCCACCTCCAACCATAAGGGTGAGGATTCGAGTCACCAAAGTAGGGAAAGGCCAACTCTATTAGAAAGAAGTGATTCATTTTTAGGAAAATTTGAAAAAACAGCTGGTTGAAAAAGCTTTTTACTGCAAAAGGTTTTCAACCTTTTTTGAAACAAAACTCCACCTAACACTTTCAGTTAGTGTTTGTTTGCCTTTCTCTGCCAGTATGCAAACAAAGGGGTTGCCTCAAAAGTTGAGACATGATGTTATAACATGTGACATTTCCTTGTGAAGACTGAATCCAGCTTCTGTAACATGACAATTTGTCCTGCTCTTTTTGCTATGTCAGTCTATAGTTTTTTTTTTCACTTTCATTAGCTTTTTAACCCAGTGGATGATAGGGATATGTCTAGTGCTATAGCTGCTTGCATATTGGTGAACTCTGACCTAGGACCACTTGTTTGCTGCCCGAAATTCTTGCTTGTAGAGCAGATGAAGTCCTTTTTAAATAATCTTTTCTGTTATATAATCTGATTTATAGGACCCTTTTGTATTGTGATAATCTTGGCATTCTTACCACCAGAACCTGTTTCTCTAGTTTTGTTTGTCATTCTTGACTGATGAAATTTTGTTTGATAGTATTCTTGTAATCTAATTTTTGCTTTTCTAGATAGTTGTGATGAATGGCGAGCATTAGGTATATCATATGGAGGTAGGGGTGTCAAATGGGCGGGTCAAAATGCGTTGAGTCAATATTTGACCCGCCCAAAAGTTACTTGGGCTAAGAGTCAAGATGAGCTAAAATTTGGGTCATAGCCTAACCCGTCTAACTCTTATCAAGCTTTAATATGTGTTGTTTTCTTATGAATTTTATAATTACTAAATAAGACTTTTTTTTATTTTGTTATATAGTATATATAACATATCAAATAAAGAAAAAGTTATTTTAAAGATATTTTGATAAAGTTACTTGGATTAATTTGGGCTAAACGTCAGTCCATCTTTAAATGAGTATAGATGGGTTGAGTATTCAACCTTAGACAGGTTGGGCGGGTCATTTTGGGCTTCGGGCCAAATTTGTCAGCCCTATATGGGGGTGTGGAAGAATGATTAACCAAATAACGGCTATTTTTATTCATTGGTTTCTTTTTGTTCATTTTGTACAAAGGAGGTGAAAAACATTTAATGACAGCTTGGGTCAGGTTCAAAGCTTATCTATAGGTAGAAAGTTTTCTCCTCTCAAATCAGTACCAAACTTAGGAGTAGACAAAATTTAACAAGTAGAAGGAGCAACTAACATTTCACTTGAACTACTTTCGTCCAACATCTCAATTTGAAACCTTATTATAAAAAATGTCTCAGTTTTTGAATTTACCCGACATAAATACGTTTTAGCTATAAAAAATATATATTTGTTTAAACTAGACTCCTTTCTGCGGTAGACTTTCTTATTTAGATGCGCAATTCTGGGATAGCTTATATTTCAATTACAAATTTTAGACGAAATCATCACACCATGATTAAGGCAACATATCTGTAGAATCCTTCTATTACACAGATTTCCTCTGGTTATCATCGCGCTATAATCAAGGCAACATATCTATAGAATCCTTCTATTACGCAAATTTCCTCTAGTTTTCCATAAGCGGGTCAACAAACTCAAAAAAAAAACTTTTGAAGAAAACAATTGCAAACAATTAGCTACAATTGAATTGAATTTCGCGACATAATGTCAAAATTGACGATTATGCTTCAGCTCAATGGTCGGTGGGATAGTGTTGGGAGATACAAAGATTTTGATGTTGACGGAATTGTAGTCAAAAAAGATTCAAATTATAGTCAATTGAATTTCGCAATTGCAGAGCATCTAATGATCGATACCTCTGCAAAAATCATCGAAATCAAATACAAGGTCAATGAACGTTGTCGTCCAATGAAAATTCGGAACGATATGGGAGTTCGAGTGTATATGGAGACGAAAAAGGAAAATAAAAACTTAGGAATATATCCGCTGTGTATAACAATATGTGATTTTGATTTAGAATGCAGTATGTCGAATACGAGCACAATTGTAGGTTTACTCTATTTTTCGAGTGCCGATGTTTTCAATTTCAAGTGTTCTACAATTTTACTATAAATTATCTACAACTATACTACATAACAAATGTAGTTCAACTGTTATATCTCTAAATACAATTGAAGTGTAACTGTCACACAGTACTTAAGGTTTGAAAAAATAAAAATGTGATCACAGTTGAAAGTATCTACAAGTATTCTGTCAAATACTGAACACCTGAATATACAGAGGTCTGAATTACTATACTTTTAATTAAGTGCAAGTACTTCTGATTATCGTAATACTAATGTGGTACATTTGTCAAGCAATTGTAACATAATTGGAGAAGTATCAGGAACAATGAAGTTGATTGACATGCCAACATCTCCGACAATTGTGGAATATGAAAGTATCATCATAACAGAATGTCACGATCCCAATTTTCCTCCGTAGAATGTCGTGATGACACCTAGTCTCTAAGACTAGGTAAGCCTAACAAGCATGCGAAATAATTGAAATAGTAATCTAAAAGCTCAAAACGCAAGCAACTGTATAAATTAAAAATTACAACTCAAAGTATATACAACTCCCAAACCCAGTAGATATAAGTCGCAAGCTCTAGATACAATGTTGCAAATATCCTAAGCACCACTCTCTATCAAAACATAACGAAATAAGGAAAATACGGGATAGAAGGGGACTCCGAGGCATGCGGACGCGGGCAGGTGTACCTTGAAATCTCTAGGAAGCAACACAACACTCTAATATCGAGGCTGATAGGATGTACCTGGATCTGCACAAAAATATTTGCAGAAGCGTAGTATGAGTACACCACAATGGTACCCAGCAAATGCCAAGCCTAACCTCGGTAGAGTAGTGACGAGGTCAGGTCAGGGCCCTACTGAGGATAATAAGAAACAAGAGAGAAAATATAATGATATGATAAAGTGATAGGGAAGTGTAACAATAGAAATTTACGGAAGGTAACAACACGGAATCAAAGAAGACAAATACATACGTAAGGAAACAAGAATCTTACAAGTTAAGGAACAACAACAACAAATAGTACAACAAATAGAGAAAATCAACAGGGGCACTCCCGAGTTACCACCTCGTAGTCCCAAAAGTAAATATCTCACAATCTTTCTTCATACCACCCATGTGTATCAATAATTAGGGGGTCGGTGCTAATATACTCAAAACGACCGGTCGGGTCGTTACACATCACATATGCCAAATGTAATTGAAGTAGGCCAAGTTTACCAAGACAATCAATCAATTGTTAGTGTAATAAAATACTATTCTGTCATAAATAAGTTTCAATTTAGGGTAAAAAGGTCTAGTACAAAAAGGTAGGAATATTTTATTTGTCAAATTCAAATTGTGTATAAGTTGTAGCTTTTATGTATATAAATTGTTTGAAATAATTTGTTGTGCATAAACAACCTCGTATTCTGTAGCTACAATTTGCATAACATTTATTTAATTATTTTTATTCTGTAGTTACTGCCTCGTATGTGTTGGGGACAATTGTACGTGGCACTTCAAGTCCACAAGCATAAATGAATCAACATTGTTCAAGGTTCAAAAATTCAACAACTTGCACACATGATCTTTGATGGACAACATATATATACAACACAAAGCTACTGCCATGGTAGTTGGCAGCGTGGTGATGCCAAAATATGTGGATCCTAAGACAATATACATACCAAAAGACATATAAACTGACATGTTGTCAGAACATGGTGTGAACTTAACATACAAGCAAGCTTGGAGAGCAAAGGAAAAGGCTTTGGAATTTTTGAGAGGTCAACCTACTGATTCTTACAGTCGCTTGCTGAGTTATTTGTATATTCTGGAGAAGACTTATCCGGGGTCGGTAGTAAAATTACAGAAGACTAAAGATGGCTATTTCTTGTATGCATTTGTTGCTCTTAGTACGTCCATCAAGGGTTGGGAGCATTGTAGGCCAGTTGTAGTAGTCGATGGAACATTCTTGAAATCGGCATATATGGGAATCATGCTAAAAACTAGCACAATAGATGCAACAGGTAATGTAGATTAATTATAAAAATATTATAATAAAGTTATTTCTGAGACTGTATTTTTTATATTTTCAAGTTTTATTACTGAAATTGAATTTATTTTTGGTACCTATGTGATAGGTAGCATATTACCACTAGCATACGCCATTGTTGATTCAGAAAATGACGCATCATGGAGGTGGTTTTTTGAGCAATTCAAACATGCATATGGTGAAAAACCAAATATGTTGTTATTTCGGACCGGAATGAGAGTATATTGAAGGCAACATCTACTGTTTATACCGGCATGCTACATTATGCTTGCATATGGCATATTTGGACAAATGTATGGTCGAAGTTCATGAAAGGTCATCTAAAGTTAAGCGAATTGTACTTTGCCACCGCACAATCATACACGCTTGATGAATTTAATGAAAGAATATCAAAGATTGCTGAGATCGACACACCTGTTAAAGCATACCTATACGATATTGGCTATCACAGATGGTCTCGGGTACATGCTACGATGAACAAAACATGGACGATGCCATCAAACATTGTAGAGTCCTTGAATGCAGTAACCAAAGATGCAAGAGAGCTGCCCGTAGTTGAACTATTAGAGTACATGAGGACTCTTCTTGAACGTTGGACTAATGAAAAGTTATTGAATACAAATGGTACGTTCACTTACCTTGGGAGAAAATACAACAAAGAGTCGGAGGACAACAAGACATTATCGCAGAAGATGAGAGTAAGTTATGGGCAATAACATCAGATCATTTATTTCATCAAACTAAATATATATTGATAATTATAGATATGTTGTTGTATAATTGTAGTTATTTTGTCTTTTATCTGTTGCTGACAACTATTATATGTTTGTAATGAAATTGTAGGTGAGGGCTTCAACAAATTACATCCATACTGTGATAGATGATGTGAAACGCTTCATTATTTGCCTTGAAAACAAGAGATGTAGTTGTGGACAATTCCATCTTGATGAACTTCCTTGTCCACATGCTTTGGCAGCTTTGAGGCATAGGAAAGAGTCTTATAAAAACTATTGTTCTCTTTATTATACGAGGGAGAGCCTTCTGTAGACTTATGAAATACCAGTAGACCCATTGCCTGATGAAAGAAAATAGAATGTGCTACAACATATAGAAGAAGAAGTTGTAACAAAAGATCTTGTAGGAATGCTCCCAAAAGGAAATAAGAATTGATATAGTATAAAGAATTTTTTTTATTGAGTACTGTTGATGATAATCTGTTCTTTAAGACATATTCAGTTATATTTGTTATGTTCTGAAGAATTATAGTTGTGGTATAATTGTGTTGCTAATTTGAATAAAGATTGTCTCCTATAATGAATGTTCGGTAAACAGATTTCAACTCTTAATGCAGTTGGTTTGTAGTTGTTTTGTTCAAAAACTGGATTTATTTATTAGTTTTAAGCTTTTCCTAACAACACTGATAAAATTGAATAGATTTTGTATTTTTGTATAGTAGTTGTAGACATAATTGTAGTTATGCTGTAAAAAAATTATATAGTACCAATATCGAGATCAAGTACTAACAACTTTCAACAAAAAAATATGCTATAAATGTTTTCTATTGTAAGTAGTATAATTCTAGACAAAATAACAAAACAAAAGGTAAAACAACTGTAGCACAAATCTGCTACAAATAAATCGTAGCTGAATTGTTCTTAATAAATAATTTTCCTACAACTCTAATACAATCCAGCTACAATTAAATACTTTCACTATAATTGTTTTTACTAAAAAGGGCAACTGATTCTTTTTATTTCGGACTCGTGTTTTCTCCTTCACAACTGGTGCACCTTTTCTTCTTGCTAATCTCCTAGTCACCTCACTTTCACTAATTGCACCAAGCTCTTACTTTTTCCTAGCACAATCCCAAAGAAGCGCTCCATAACGTTTATGGTGTTGATCAATATCAGAAAGGTCTTCCTTTGAAATCGAGAGCTGTCCAATGCTGACATATTCTGCAAATGCCGCCACGTATACACCACAGTCACTGTAATAAATAATAATGAAAAAGATTTAGCATTCAATGTAAAATACAATTGGTTAAATTGAAGGAAAAGCAGCACATAGAGTGATCCCTCTTTTTGTTAGGGTATCTCACCGACCAACCACTGAATGTCAAGAGGGTAAGTAACACCTTTTTCAATGTATGCCTTTGTGTTCTTATAGTTGATGTCTGGGTACTTGCCATAGAAGTTGGTGCATATCAAGTAGAGGGGGATCATAATAGCAAACTTGTCGATAACAGATTCAACAAATTTGTGATTACGTGAACAGACCATAGAATCATAAATATATAGAACTCTATCGGTAAAGTCAAACAAAACCAACAACCAATGAAATTTCTCAACAATGTTTATGGGCATAATCACAAAATCAACTTTGTCTCATGCAACATTTGCAAGTAATCGGTACCCCAATATGTATTCTGATACGACGTCCTGGGGTTTGACAACAGCAAGTTTCCTATTGGCAGGAGTATTACTGTACCTCTCATAAATTTGTTCTATTCTAGTCTTGAACATACAGTCAGTGGTTGTAAACCGTGTTCTGTTTTCAGGACCATACTTTCATCAAGAACTCATATCCTTCCCTCCAAAACTAAACCGCAACTTTGTACATGCAACTTTTCAACCCCACACAGCGCATTGCCTCTAACATGCTAACTCGTGACACTACGAAAATTCCATAATAACCTCTGAACCTTGAGAAAATTGAACATCCTATCAACCGCGAACCTTTTATTTAACTCAATCCAGGAGAACATCACCACACACAATATAGCTTCTATAACTGTAGCAAACACCAACTCCAACCGTGGTCATAACCATGATGAATTCTTTGAAACTCATTAACACATATCCAAGCCATCATAACTGAATCCTTTTAACTCAGCCAAGCCACGCAGGTCACCAAAACCCAAGAGTATTGCCACGAAATACTTGTAGAGACTCACCACATCATAAGTACCCCAAAGAACTAATCGTATCCATTATTGTGCTGATCTAACCTACTACCAAGCTATCACATTTCTATTAGTTCCTTCCGAATTGCCATCAAGCTGGCACTTCTCCTTGTTAGAATACCACGATCCTCACCCAAAGCTCATCACAAGAGATCCTAGCATAAAACCACACCGCCTTAAGGCCCATAAGCCGATGTACTCCCTCTTAAGCACCCCAAACGTATCGCAACCTAGATATCCACTCTGAAGAGACCTTCTGTGAATCTGAAGTAGTTTCCTCCACCTTTCCGATACCGAAATGTAAAATCCATAATGGTATAGAAATATCGCGAGTCTCAATACCATCCAATGTAAACCTCAGATCCTAGCCATATACAAATACAGGAAATTCACAATTGCTACATGGAAATCTTGAATCCATTAGAACTTTCTCAAGAGTTATCCACTCTGCTAAAATCTCAATTGCACCGACCAAACGGGCCGAACGACCTGTGCCCCATTAGCACATCAACACCCAAAGAAGTGACCCCGCCTTAGCGCAACCGAGCAAATTTCTACCCCATGCGCACTACATCCATCACGAATAACAACTCAAATCATTCCATGATTTCCATATACCCATAAAGCGTAATATAACCCGTATCCAGAAATTTCCTTGCTAGAGTCATCCCCAAAACCAGCCTCTACAAGTCATAACTGATTCATAGTGTACCTCAAACCGAAATCAACACAACACATAACCATGCAATCAAAGCGTCGATAGTAGACTCCCCCACTTAGCTCAATGCCATATAATAGAACATCTGATAACTCACTATACCCATACTCTATTACTGCCATAATACCGTAGGGAGATTCAACTAAATCCTTCATAAGCTCACATAACACAAACCATATAGTACCTTAAATCATCTACCAAGCTCGTATACATCCACGTGATGGCCAGGTCGACTTTCTCAACCAAATTCAAATTCAGATCTCAACACATATACCCTGCTGGTAGAAAAGAAACTCTCCACACAATATTATAAGGATCACAGCTCTGTAGATTACTCCGCAGGATATAATCCACATGCTTAGCCTTAAATTGGCATCTTGCTATACCCTTTTGCAGCCATGATTACTACGCCATCACTTAATCTTCCTGAGTCTTAACTCACAACAAGACATGAAAATCTACTTCGTTCCACAATTAATCAACATGAAAAATCTTTCAACACACTCATAACTCAAGACTATACGTCACATCAAGACATCAATCTATCACCCAATAGTCCTTTTTATATCTCAAGCAAACTATTTTCGTCACAATCAAACCATCTGAACACATTCCGCAGTCACATCATGTTCATCGCATAGCCATCCATCCACTCATCGAGTCATAAATTTCACTCATAGGGACACTACCAAACATATAAGTCCAAAAGAACGTACTCATACAACCAAAATCCCCGTGCTCAAGCTACAGTCAAACCCCGCCCTAAAGTCCTCTAGACTGGCCCATCATCAACACACCGAAATCATATCTCGCGCCTCATCCATAGAATCACAAGCCAACAATGCACAGCTGATACCGAGCGCTCACATGCGCACACAAATGCATGGAGAGAATTCAAAGAGTTATGTTTCAAGTGAATCAATGTCGTACGATAAGGAAAGAAAGATGGAAAATTTATCCTAAATGCCTTGTAGCCTCTCAAAGATAGGTATGGACGTCATCATACCGATCCGCAAGACTCTACTAGACACTTGCTCATGACTTATAGAACCTATGAACCTAGAGCTCTGATGCCAACTTGTCATGACCCAAAATCCATCTAGTCGTGATGACACCTAACCCAACCCGTCAGGTAAGCCAATTAACAACTATCCAATTTAATGAGATTTAATAAGAAAAGAAATGATAATACAACTGCTTTTATACAAGAATTTCCCAAAGACTGGTAGTACAAATCATGAGCGTCTAAGATTTAGAGTTTACAAAGCTAGTATGAAATAAATACATCATCTGTCCGAATGTACATAAGCAGATTTTTATAAGTCTAGAGCTACCATAAACAAGAGGCAGTTGTGACTGAAATGCAGGTACGTCTTCAAATCTAGCTCCTGCCGTGCACAACAACATCAGCATCCAACATCTGTATGTAAGGTGCAGAAGTGTAGTATGAGTACAACCGACCCCATATACTCAATAAGTAACAAACTTAACCTTAGGTTGAAAGTAGTGACGAGCTGGGACAAGGGTCAGAGTCCAACTCTAATAACCAATAACATCTTATAACAACATAATTTAAAATAACACAAGTAATAACTCAATAAATAGATGCTCAGCTCGTATACAATTCCGGAAAATAAACATTTTCTTTTCAAGTATAACAGTTAAACTCAAATCTTTTGCCGAAATCACCGAAAATATGAGTAAGCTCGAAATCTGTGATTTTTTTCAAAAACCCTTCAACAGTAAATAAGATGTTGCATTTTCTGATAGCATGAGGAAAATACCTCTCTATGCCTATATATCAAGTATGCATGTCTGATGCAATGCAGCACAGTGATGACCTCGTGTACTCACACTCTCAGAGTACTCAATCTCACTGGCTCACATTTCCACTCATCACGCTCAATATTCAGCACACTTAGTCACTCGACATTGTATAGGGCAGATCCAGCCCAAACATAAACGACAACTCGCGCACAGTCATTTAGTACTGTATATGGCCAATCCAACCCAGGGAAGATCCAATCCAAATATATATATATATATATATATATATATATATGATAACTGATATGCAGTCACTCAATATTGTACAGGGCCAATCCAGCCCAGGGAAGATCCATCCCTCAATATAAATAATTAGGCAAGATCCATGCCGAGGGCAAATCCATCCCTCAATATAAATAATTAGGCAAGATCCATGTCAAGGGAAGATCCATCCCTCGATATAATATCAACTGCGCTCACTGTGGGTATGTAGACTCCGGAGGGGCTCTTCAGCCCAAGCGCTATAATAAGCCAAATCCAGGCATAAATCAATAAAACATGTTACGGCGTGTATCCCGATCCCATAAATATCATTCACAA